AAAAAAAAAAAAAAAAAAAAAAAAAAAAAAAAAAAAAAAAAACAAAACAAAACAAACAAACAAACAGGGCCCTGGGTTGGTTGGCAGCGTGCAGCCTCTGTTACCAACCTGTAGGCCCAGCCCACGAGTTGGTTGCAGAGGCTGGGTCTGCATGCTCTTCCAGAAGGCCCTGGGTGCAGGGTACTGGGCCCAGGGCGCAGGGTCTGCACATAGCCTCTCCAGCCTCGCCAGCCAGCACAAAAGAAGGCTGGCCGCCCAGCCATACACACGTGCATTCAGGCTGAGTGGCCATGCTGAGGTGGCAGTGGGGAGGAAGGAGGTGGGCGCCAGCCATAGCTATGTTGGGCACGCCAGCCGGATAGCCGGATGGTGGAACTGCGGTGATCCTTGGGAGAGGAAGAGAGAAGAGAGGCATTGGGAACGAGGCACATACCCGGTGTTGCGGAAGGCAGGCTGTGTGACCAGAGTCTTCAGGGGGCATTGGGCGATTGACACGTGGACCATTGCTGGCATGTAGATAGGCTAGATGAGGAGGAGCATAGGAAGCAGGGAGGGCGGTCAGGCCGCCAATAGGAAGACTACATTGTTGTTGTAGTGATGATCGGAGGCCGTGGAACCGTGGAAGGGCTTTCTTTATGAAGAGACTTGAGTGTAGTGCTCGTTCCTGTTTGGTGTGCATTTCGTTTTGATTTCTGCTTTCAATACGGCTCAATTATGTCTGGTCTTCTGTGAGATGTCGCAACCTGGTTTATCGCTGTTCTCATTGCTTATTTCCTTGCACCTCGGTTATTTTTTCAACTTATTCTCCTCTCTAGGCAGGACATCATTTTTTGGCGGGCTGCTCAGTTTTCTGCTGCTGGGGGGGGGGAAGGGGGTTTTGGTTCGTAACTTTGTGATAAAGTTTGTATTTTTTGTTCATAATTTGTTCATGAACTTCATGATCTCTTTCCACCAGGGATTGCCTTTTTTTTTTTCTTTTTTTTTTTGAGTTAGTTCTGCCCATCCCCAGGGACCCATTTGCACAGGATCAGTTTTCCGAAGTAAATGGATCCGGAAAATGTGCTACGGTTCCGTAAATGGATTATCGTATTCGTTTCGTTTCATGTTGTTTTTGCTTTGTTTTCATATCATCTCATTTTGTCTCAATTGTTTTGTTTTGTTTTGTTTCGTTTCTTCTCATCTTGTAATAACAGCGCTGTCAACAAAAAGCCATTCTCATTTGGTTGACTTCCATTGGTTGGGTGCATTTTGCAGGGAGGGGCACTTTTTTTTGCATCTATTTGCGGAAAGAACTATAGATTTGGCACCTTGCCGATCAGGCCTGATGACTCTTGCAATATGCATAGAGGCAGCAGCACAAGCGTCAAGTTGCGGCGGTGAACGTGTATGCTGCGAAAATGGCAGTGAATGTGGAAACAACATCAGTGACCACATACTGGACTCCCTCCGGCGGGTGGCAGAGTTGGTTCGGAGACATTTCAATCCAGCGTACAGAGCTAAAGGTGAATGAATCACTTTTATACAATCTTTAAATGTCACAAGTGACTGGTGCAGTTGCTCATTGTTTCAAAAAACATGTCTTGGCCCCCCATCCTCTCTACAGCATCACATCTTGTAATTGCTTAGGTTGTGTGCTTAGGGGGTCGGAAACCTCTTTTCTGTAAAGGCTGTCGTTAGTGCGGAGTGGGTTCGGGGTCTGGTAACTCTGGTGTATATGGAGTTGGTGATCAGGGAGTCCAAGTGGGTGATCTGCAGATCAGCGGTTCTAGACGGTGGATTGACGATCAGGGAAACTCAAGTGACGATGCCCACTTCTGCACTAAAGAAGAAGAAAAATAAGAACATGACAATGATAACAAGGATGATAGCAACGACTACAATGATGATGATGATGATGATGACGGCGACGATGATGATGATGATGATGATGATGATGATGATGATGATGATGATGATGATGATGATCGACTGATTTTTGTTTGGAGAGGCCAGTGGCTCGTCGATTTGAGGTTTGGCGGTTAGCATCCCAAGGGACATGGAAAGAGAGGTCGGTGACAGTCCTGAATGTATCATCTTCGTCCATGTAACCACCTCACGGAGTATATCTTGCGTCTAAAGCTTTCATAACATCCGGTTATCGAAACTGGGAAATTCCGCTACCATGCCTCGATCGACACCAGACACCAGATTCGCAGTAGGCTAGCCAAGCTATGAGTCGGTGAAACTCCGACGAAACAGTTTGTCACAGCCCCTCGTTTGTTG